GCTCTCCCTGAGTGGAGATAAAATTCACTCCTAGTCAGATTATTCCGGCGCCTTTGAGCTTCAAAGAGGTTCTAGTTTTTTCTTTTTTTCTGTAACACTCAGAAAATGTAAAAAAAAAAGGAGAGAAAGAAAAGTTGTGATAAATCACAGATGAGGTTATAATACGTGTGTCAGCGCCTGCTCACCTCTCTGATGATGACTTCAAACAGTTCAGGACTTCTTAATTAGAATCTACGAATCCATGGTATAAAAAAAAAACCTGCTCAGCCCAAAAATATTAAATAAAAAAATTAAATGATAACCAGGAAAACCAAAGAAAACTCCTTCCTAATCAGCCTCTATAGCAGCGCTAACCAATTAAAGACCAGCAGGGTACGAAAAAAAAGAAAATCAACCAGTAAAGGTTTGGAGACATTTTTAATTATAATCCGTTAATATAAACAGAATTTAACACTAAATAAAATGAGGTTTTTATGCAGCCATCTTATACATTTAATATTTAAATAAAGAAAAATACAAAAATAAATAAAATCTTCTTAAAATGTAAACATTAAAATATTAAAATGGTAAAATATTTGCATTTTAAAATCTAAAGTGTTTTTTTGAAGTAGAGAATAACAACCGTTCAGTTTGGTTTATTGATAATTTCCTGTTATTTTCTTTCTTTTTTCTGTCTTAATGTTGGCAGTGGGCTTTAGGCTGCCCTGCAAGGCTTTAAACCTGGGTTTAACCGGAGACTAAGCCATTCTCAAGCACATATCAAGGAGCTCATTTTGAGCCTGGATCCAGATTTATTGTTGATTCTGTTCATGGTGGAGAATCCTGCTTCACAGCAGCAGGTTGAGCCAAACATCCTCTAAATGTGCAGGGTCATCTTTGAGCACGCCATTTCACTTTTCTTTCACCAGTTCACCGCAGTTCTTCCAGCAGTCCACACTTTCTCTGCTCTCTTTTTCTCATGGTCTTCTCCTTCTTTCCCATCGCCCGGCTTGCCACAGGTTTGCCTGCTGTGTCTAAATGTAGCAGCAGCAGAAATCCATCCAAAATGAACAATATTTCTAAAGAAAAAACGTGACGACCCCATCAGTTACGCCCACAGTTTGTTTTTTCTTTGATCACGTTTCCCTTCTGCTCTTCGAAGGTGAAAAGTTTTAGCATTCAGGATCATCTGTGGCCATTTGCTGCAGAAACTCTACTTTAATCAGGCTGAAAATTAAAATGGAGGAACTATTTCATTTCAAATTATCTCAACATTACTGTTGATTGATTGATTGACTTTATTGATCTCACAGTGGAGAAATTTACTTATTACATCAGCTCAAATAGTCAGAGAAGAAAAATGAGCCAAATGGAGAAAAAGGTGCATGGATGTATGCAGCAAAACAATCACGATATTATGATGATTTCATATAGGGATGCACGATATAATCGGCCCCCTATCGGTATCGGCCTTAAAACTGAATATCGGACATCGGCCACCCCACCGATATTTAACCCGATATTTGATCAGCTTCTGAGTTTCTAAAGTCTAAAAAAAAAAAATAAAAAATACTTCTTCTTCTTCTTCCTCAAAAACTTATTTTTTTACAGACTTAAAAACTTCTAAAGACGAGGGAAAAAATATTGATCCATTAAAATATCCCAATATCTTCATATGCTGATATATTGCCATTTAAAAACACCATATCAATCTCTTTTACTAATGAAATATTGCTATATGTCATCGTTATGCTACGAAATCCCCCGAAAATTCACCAAACGTTGCCATATTTTTATATGTTGATATATTGACGCGGTATCGATCTATTTTACTAACAAAATCTCACAAGAATTTGCAAAATATCACGAGAGTTTGTAACAGAACGATGAAATTTCACCAGATTTTGAAAGTAAAATAGATCGATATCGCGTTTTTAAAAATTTGATATCAGCATATGAAAATATATTTGAGTATATTATTTTTCAAAGTGTCAGAAATGGATAACAAAACTGCTATTTTCAATGACTACTTATTTTTGTCCAGCTTTAACATCGGTATCGATATCGGTTATCGGCTACATAAGTTTTAAAATATCGGATATCGGATATCGGCCAAAATCCCGATATCCTGCATCCCTAATTTCATATTTTGCAGACGTTCTCTGGATGGTTATGCATCGCAGACGCACAGATAACCATGTGTGAACCGTCTGACCAGTAAATGAGAGCGAGAAAATGAGTTTATAGGAAGGTGACAGAAAGCCAGAGAACTTTAAGAAAACTTACAAACATTTATAAAGAAATCAAGGTTACTGCTAAACAGCTCAGAGATATTAAACATTAAAAAGGATCAAATTAAAGGAGTGAAAGCAATAAAAGCAGCTGAAAGATGCACACAATTATTATAATTATTGATCACTTTTAAAAAATTTAGAAAAAATGTCGTTTAAAAAGATTTAAGCTGATTTTTCAAAAAAATGTTGTACTAGTATGAATGTTCCTCCAGGATGTCGCTGCTTTTCTTCCAGTCGCTTCATTTATATTAAAGTTTCTGCCTCCAAAAAATTCCCTAAATATTTAAAGAAGTAATAAAAAAAACTCATAATGTTTGTTAATGTTTCTAAGAACATCGAACCATCAGATAAAATCAACTCATAAATACAAAAGGTAACTGAAATTATACATTAGTTTTTAACTTTAAAGTAACAATTCTGCTAGAAGTTTTGATTTGATAAATAAATTAACTTAAAAACTGGTTAAAACTGGTTGTTTAAGTGGAGTTACATGATAAAGTTTAACAGGAAAAGACGTCATTTTCAGGATTCTTTAAAAATAAAAGCATTGTTATCCTCAGATCTATTATTATGTGAGTTTATGTTAACATGAGCTCTGGTTTTATTGGAAGTTTTTATAAGGATAAAAAAAAAGTCTGGAATTAGTTTGATTTTTTTCTGATCTGTAAAAGTAAGAAAATGAGAAAACGAGACGTGATGGAAGAAATGTTTGAGTTTCTGTGGTTTTTAAAACGAGGTTCAGACGCCAAACAAAATACTGAAAACCTTTTCTTAGTCTTTGTCATGGTTTGAGAAATTTAAGTATTTACTTTTTCTTTTTTTTATAACAGATTCTTGCATGTTTAGATGCAAAAAGTCGGGAAACTAAACTTGTATAATTTAAGAATCTCTGGAAAATGATCCGCCTCTAAAAATATCTGAAACTGGAGGTTGAAATTGGTAATGAGTTTTTGCAACCATATTTTAAATGTTTATTTAATTATTTAGGGTTAATTTAAGTATTTTTTTTCTCAGAAATAATTTTTTTCTTTATTCTTTTTGCTAAACACCATGCAATGCTGCAGCTGTTTTCATAACTGACCTCTGAGTTTTTTTTTTTCTCTTTCCAATAAAACATTTTGGTGACTTTTCTCTCTTTCCCTAACATACGAAGCGGCCATCGTTTGATCCAGTGTTTGTTTAAAAGCGGCATTTAGTTTAGAGAACTGAGCCTGCAGCTTTTAGAGTGCAGGATGTAGATCATTCAGCCGGCTACGAGTGTTCGCTCGCATTAATGTCGCACGTAAATTTAAAATGTCCTGTTCATCCACGGCACTTAGCGGCCCCGGCCTCTCCTGTATATTTCAGTGTCCGCCTCGCTCAGCTGTGTTGAGTCTACATCAGGGTTTTGATGGGGGGGGGGTTGATTGCACCAAAGAGCTCCTGACAAGATGTTATCACAGTGAGCCTCACAAATTATCACGCACTGCGGCCATGCTAGCAAAATGTTGTGCTTCCCCTCGTAATTTAGAGGCCGAGCGCCATCTGATAGCGTAACACAATATTAGTGCTGTTCATTATTTGGCTTTCTTCAGTGTCTCTGAAGTAAAAAAGCTGAAATCCCTGAGGGGGAGAACAGAATGTCAGCATTAATAACACTTAGGAATGGCAGAACATGAATCAACTAGATGAGGAGCTTTTTTTCTAGCTGCAGAGCCGCATTTCAGCAGCTTGATACATGAGTTTATGGCAAGTAATCGCATGTAGAAACATTGATTGAGGCGTGCTGGTTAGTATTCCCCGTGTTTGTCGGGAATTGTTTGGACCCAGATTCCCTCCCTTCCTTCTTCTGCTTCTCTTTGTGCCGTCATTAGATAAGAATCCTCTCTGAGACCATGTCATCATAACGAGGGTGCCATCTGAAGCAATCACCATGGGAGATGGTTATTGAGTTAAGAGGGAGGGAAGGGGAGGGGGAGAGGCTGATATTGGAGATACAGAAAAAGATTGTGGCCTGGATGGGTGAGGCGGGGAGGTGTTTTGGAGGAAGGGAAGCTGCAGACTTAGCGGACATGGAGATCATTTGGGGAATTCCAGACTCACATCCCAACACACACACATGCAACCGCAGGGTTAACCGCTCGGCGTTAAGGCCGGAGTCACACTCTGTCTCCCTGGGTCATTATCACGGGCCTGAAAATAGAGCGCCCGTTCTGCTGTGACGCCGGAAGAGACCATGACATCGGCTAAACGAGCCAAGACCCCCTAAACTCTCCTCCAACGCCTTAAAACCAGCGCAGGCACACCTCCTGCTCCCGCTCTCATTTAGAAACGGACGTGCAAACTTAAAGGGAGGCATTTAGCTTGTTGCGCCGCCGGCGAGCGGTTACACATGTGGCCCAGAGGGAGTTAGCTGGAGCAGCTGGAGCTTTCCAAGCTCTGCCTCACTGCTCTGCTATGCACAAACAACAAACAGTCAGACTCTGAGGTCTGACCAAGTTCCTCTTTGCCACCTCAGTGGACTGCAATGTTGCTGCTTTCATTTGGCTTCCCTATGCTGTGTTAATGAGAGGAGCTGCCGGCTGATTGAGGTTGAGAACTGCTAATCACTGGAACAGCTAATCAGAGCTTGTCGTAAATATTGATTAGTTCTGTGCGTTATGGACGTGCTCATTAACCAACGTGTCACCATCTCTCCTCTTTCCTCCCCCCCCCCCCCCCCCCCCCCCCCCCCCCCCCCCCCTGCAGCTACCTCCAACGGCACGGTCGAGGGTCTGGAGAACCGCGAGGGAGGTGTGTGCAAGAGCCGAGCCATGAAAGTCATCATGAAAGTCGGGCAAGGTAAATCACCCTACATGTATAACACAAAGCGAGCGCTGCTGCCTTGGAGCCATGTTTCACTTTGGTGTGACATTTCCATTTAACGCCGTGTGTGTCGCCGTGACTTTGTCCGCCAGCAGCGTCCAACGAGACGCCGTCTCTGGGACTGTGGAGCTTTCTGTGTGCCGGCGGGGTTAATGTTTCCTCATTTTTCTTCTAACTTTTCCTGTTTTTAACCAACATCGTTGTGTTTACATCTCAAAGAAATGAAATTATACAAGCATGAATTTTACAGGATAAAAATTTTTTTTAACACCTACAGCATCCTCTGAATCATTAGCAATGATGGGTAACGATGTGTTCAGACCAAATGGTTGCCGTGGAGACGGTGTGGCCCTAAGAAGTGATTAATTGCTTGCTTTGGAGATATTTTTTCCTGCCGTACCTTCCTCTTTACCGAGTGCGGTGTGGAGATAAGTATAGGCCCTCGTCCCGCCTTGTTTGTCTCAGTTGCCTTTAAGCCTTTTAATTATCACTCTGACTGTAGATATAGACACGTTTAGACAAGCACTTATTTTCACGCAGCCATTTTTTTGACTTATGACACACATTTCACATTACTAAAATAGCATGTTTCTAGTTTGGATGTTCTATTGGAAGAGCGGCTAAGAGAAATGAACTTCAGTGATATCCTGTTTGTTGCTTGGTTTTATAATATTATTGAACTTTTCAGTTCTATGCAGTTTATTTCTATAGCTCCAATTCACATCATGTCATCTCAGGTCACTTTCCAGTTCACCAGATCATCCAGTCAGATTGATTCAAAGTTTTCTATCTAAGGAAAACCAGCTGATTGCATCGACTCATTGACTTTTCAGCAATTCCTCACACTAAGCATGCTTGTAGCGACAGTGGAGAGGAAAAACTCCCTTTGAACAGGAAGAAACCTCCAGCAGAACCAGGCTCAGTGTGAGCGGCCATCTGCTGAGGCCCACTGGGGTTCAAGGAGACAGAAGCAGACGTAGAAAAAGAAGCATAGATACAAAAGGCAACTGTCAACCAGCTCCACAGGCGGCCCCGTCCAGGAAACACACAGCCAGGCAGACGAGCTCCGAGCCAGCTCCCATGTCAGAGGATGAAGAGAGCACATCCAGTTAGTCACAGTCAGAGAAACAGGACTACACTGGAAAACAGGCCAAGCTCCAACATCTAGAAACAAAGGTGTTGATGGCAGCAGCACAGCTGATATTTCTCTCCAGGATGGAGTCACAGCCAAGTGACCAAGAGTGGGAGAATAGAGATAGAATGAAGCAGAATGATGAAAAAGGGGTCCCTATGTCCTCCAGCAGTCTAAGCCTATAGCAGCAGAACTATAGAGATAGATCAGGATAACCTGAGCCACTCTAACTAGAAGCTTTATCAAAAAAGGGGCGTGAAGGAAGCCATACATTAAACTTAGATTTCAGCTTTTAAAAACCTACAAAGCAGCAATTGAGTTACTCACTTCCTGCTATCATCGCAGCTCCAACCCCTTTACAGGAGAACAGAAGACCTCACCTATTCATCCAGGCCAACTATTCCCTTTAACGACCCCCCTTTCAGAGACATAGACAGGTATGGGGCATTGCAGGCTAACAAAGAAGCCAAACGACCCCCATTCCAAAGGGGGGGACCCGTTCATCCGTTTCTATTTGCATGTTTTCTAAACTAAAACTTTGTGATTCTACTGTATAAAACCTGGAACTAAACGCTATTTCTGAAATTTAGAATTGAAAAATCTTCCTGGATGGAAGAGAAACGTCCTCAAACTTGGAAACAAAGTCCAGTGGATTGATTTTAACTTTTTTGGAATTTATCAAAAAATCGAAGTCTGTCTTAAAAGTTGGTTCTACCGGATCGGTCACCCGGACAGAATGTGTTGATGGACCGGGAGAAGACGCCAACTACAACCAGGAAACTGAGGGCAGGATTCAAACCGGAGAGCTTTGTGCCGCGAGGCAGCGGGGCCAAACATGGGTCCGCTGTGCAGCCAGAAAGATGAAATGAAAATGAAAGTTTAAACTGTAACTCCCAGATGGCAACTTCACGAAAACTGCTGGTTGTTAATTAAAAGCCAGACAGGATAATAATCTGTTTACCAGTGGAAGTGTGTTTCTATCAGGCATTTGCAGCCAATCAATAATCAGGACTTCTGCCTGAACAGCGTTATTCAATTTTGAAGGATCTGCAAGTTAGCGTGATTAAAGGGAAGCAGTTTCATGTTGCACTGATGGAAAACGGCCCGCCGCTGTGATATAACATTACATAGGCCTGTGTTATGATAGATGGTTGTATCCTCGCTGCCCAGCCGGCCCTGTGGGGGATCCAGACATGTTGAAGGACTCTAATATACCAATGAATAGTTTCTGCAAATTGTGTAGAAAAGAAATCTGAAAGAAATAACAAACAAATGACTGATGACTGTGTGGAATGACTCCTCGTCCAAGCGCCCGGCGTGCTCTCTGATATTCCTCGGCTGTGATTCTTGCAGCGAACTAATGTTTGAAGTTTCCATGTACTCTAGATGACGGTTCGGGGTACGTCATCCAAAAAACGCTGGAGGTAAACAAGCAAGCTTTGTTTAGATATCCTTGGACCAAGCATTTGGTTCGCATCACGCGTTTCCCTTTTCCACGTCGCTCCGCTTCACGATCCGGACTTCTATATCCTGGCTTTGACAGGGTACAGTACACAGATGTGTTGCTTTGTAAACAGTTCCTCCATCCTCACAGCGCAAACAGACACTGAGAGGAACATCTGCCCGCCACGGCGACCCCATCCTAACTGAACCCTGGATCCCGCTGTAACCGGGAGGCGCTGTAATAAAATCAAGCGTGTGCGTGGAATCCGGGAGCAGGTATTTAGGATTACGGCGTTGTGTCCTGTGCAGAGCGTGCAGAGGAGGAGTAGAAACTAACAAGCTGCTGATGCTAGCAACATTCAGCAGATGTAGCCCTCCCAGAGACAGACAGCCTCTCCATGTAGGTCAGTTTGAGCAGCCAGGGACTGAGGGGGGGGGTCAACAGCGCCACGTGAGGTCTAGGAGACAATGACTTTTTCGCAGAGCTATTAAGGACAAACGGTTCCATATTCTCCGGTTAATGGAAGTGGAAAGGGAAGCGCCTTATTTCCAAGGAAACTTCCAGGAAAATTCCTCTCAGCTTCTGTGGCTCCAGGCTGTTCCTCAACTCCAGCAGAGCCGTGCGCTCGTTTCCCGAAACGGCCCCCGCCGCAGCCGTCACTCCCAGTCAACGTGTCCTAAAAACCCTGTTCTGAAAGATGCTGAGCGCCCAGCTGCCGCTACTTTCAGAGTCGGTTTCTGGGTCTGGGATTCGGGATGCATTGTGCTCTCGCCGCTGTTTTAAGGACGCCGTTGATTCGGCTGCATTTAAGGGATTGTTTTTTTCCATTAAGCTTCCATTATGGCCATCTCCAACACATCGTTGGTATTTTTCTCTATTCTTCGTATTCAGCTGGTGGCTGTGAGTGCAGAAAGTGCTGAAAATGTCAGATATAATTCGCAGAATGAGTCCTTTCTTTAACGCAGAACGGTGGCATATAGAAAAGTACTTTGACATTATGCATTTAGGACTTTATGTGGCTGCTCTCCTTTTGAGAAATTATTTTTCAGGATTTTCTTTTAAAGCTCTATTAATGCACATAAAACATTAACAAATTACACACATATATATAAATAAAATGTATATTTCAGGAGCCATTGCGGGGCTGTGATATCTGAGCAGTTTCTCTCCTTTATTAGCTATTTGAGGAAACTTAAAGAACTTGTGCCTCAGGGCAAAATGTCTGCATATTTTTTTTCTTCTCTTCTCTGAAATTAAACATAAAAATCCTCAGCAGACTAATCAATAATGAAAACAGACATTATTCACATCCCCGCGAGGCTCTTCCTCTGCAGCCGCACACTGTTTTGTTTTAGCAAACACAATAAAAAGTGAAGCCCCGCTCGCTTGTGACCCCAGATGTTATTGTGTGTTCGATTCAAACATCCTCCGTCTCTGCAGCTGAGTGCCTTCTGCTCGCCAAGAACACCCCCCCCCCATATGTCCGCTTCCAATCTTTCTGCACATTCTGCTGTGTACTTTGGTGATTGATTCCAGTAGGAAACGTGCCCAGCTTTCTTTACAGCAACATTTATTTTCAGCGCCATGCAAAACAACCCGCCGTTTATCATTCTTTTCACCTTTTGTCACCAAACAAGGTTTATTGTTATTCTGTGGGACATTATTTGACAGGTAAAAACACTAAGTAGTTGAGGCGGGACTTCTTCTGGCTGATAGGTGCTTAATAGTTGTCCTGGCAACAGATTGTCCAACAGGATCTCAGCAGGTCCTCCAGAGTTAGCAGTTAGCTGCTTCTCTAATGAATATTTATTAATAGCCACGTCTCTGACCTGCTCCTGAGTCTTCATCATCCTGTGTACGCCTTCCTGAAAGCAGTTAGCATTTTATTTTGTATCATAGTTGATCAGGGGAAGAATTAAAATGCACATTTCATAGTTTTTTTTCTTATTTTTAAAAGCAAATAAGAAAAAAAAAAGATCAATTTTGTTGATCTTCAAGATGAAGCCCTCCTTAACGGGGGCGTATTACATAAAATCTTGATGAAATAGTGATGTTTACTCCTTTTATGTCTCTAATTATTCCTTAAACGGCTGTTTATTGTTATTTTTTGCAGTTTTATTTTCTGCCAAACAATAAAAAGGGAAGAAAAGTGTCTGAATGGGATCTAAACACGCCGCCGTTCCCATGTCACCGTCCTCATTACTAACATGTTGACTCACTGCCGTGCACGCATTTCTCCCCCCTCCGTCTACCTCTCCTGACGTTCCCGTCTCTCCGTTCTGCCGCTCGATCATCGCCGCCCCCCCACCCCGCAGCCCCTCCCTCCTTCTGGTGGTTTGGCACTTCTGAGTTAGTAGCTTGTCTGCCTAGCTAAGGAAAATGTCAAACAGCACGCACAGACAGGAGAAAGAAAATGGGTCAGAACATTAGGTCGCTGCATGCACATGCTCACTACCCGAGGGTGGATGGGGGGGGGCTCAGAGTGAGTCAGATCTGTGTCCTCATGCATCCCTTGTCATGCCTGAATGTTCCCACTTCTCACTCCTGTCTTCTCTTATCAATTATTGAGAAGGCACAACAGCTAGCGGCTAGGCTGCTGCAATCAGCGCCGAGCCGGGCTGTGGTCAGGACATGGAGAGGATAGAGCAGGGGGGGGGAGGGGCCCCCCCACTACCCACACAAGAACAAAATAAGAGAAGAAGAAGAAAGAGACACTGTAGTCCAATCCTCTTCTCATCCACACCCAAATCATTTCTCATTTCATCTCAGGATTTAGCCATAATTGCTTGGAAATAGAAAATTTCCTGCCAGAATGTCTGCCCCCCCCTCCTATCATCATCCCGTCTTTGGCCACACACGCTTCCCACTGGGGACTCAAACACAAATTGCCTCCCAAAGAGCCCCCATTTCCGTTTTCCTCTCTCGCCCCCTCAGAGCAGGCCTGGGGCGCAGATAAGGTCTGCAGGAATATCTGATGGACTCATGAATCCATCCTTTAATAGTGTCTGTC